CATCATTTGTTGTTGTTGATGCGCTAAGTCTTATCTGACTCTTTTGTGACCCCATGGACTGTAACTTCCAGGCTCTTCTGTCCATGGGATTTCCCACGCAAAAACACTGAAGTGGGTTTCCTTTTCCATTTCCTTCTCCAGGAGATATTCCAGACCCAGGGATCCAACCCACATCTCCTGTTTGGCAGGCAGATTCTTACCATTGAGATACTTGGGAAGCCTACAAACATCATTAAGGAAGATTTAAATATATATGTAGAGAAGGGTACAGATATATTAATACATGTTTATGTGTTTAAGCAAGACTTAATATATATGCATTATACATATGTAAATAAGAACATAGGTATAAATGCAAATGTAGCTAAGGAGGATTCAAAATAGTATTTAAAATATAGTTCATTTAAGAACATGACATGGAAAAGAAAGAAGATATAAGGAATTCACTCAACATTCTATATAATCATTATCTTAAATTGTTTAGTACCAATGTCAAATGTTAAAGCACAGCTGTTAACCTCACACCCCAAAATGACTAGTATCAGCCATGTCCTGCATCCTCCTAATCTGGCTTCACAATTTTGGCCTTCGCAATTTGACTTCAGTTTTTCTACAGCTATGCCTCTTATCAGTCTTGCCACTTTTTAGTGTCAGAGTTCAAATGCTCTGATTTATAAATGACTTTTCACTTTAATTGGCATGCTGTGACTATAGGTCTCTTTTTCTTGGAATTTCTCTTTCCTGTTTTCTATAATCTATATAACATAAGGTATTAAAACGTGGTTTAGAACAGAAATTACAGAGTCAAATAGATATGCAGTCTAACCTTGATTTTATAATCTACTAAAGGTGTGAGATGATTAATTGGTTTAACCACTAAAGATTTCAGTTTTCTGAACTGCAAAATGGAGAACAATGTTTACCTCATTCTTATGCTGCAAGAAATAAATAAGATAGCATTTCTTAAAGTGCTAGGGCTTGTATACTATAAGCATGATAATGTAAACATAGGGTGCTTTTTTCTTATAATGGCTTTATACTTCTTTATAACTTTCTTTGTATGTAAATATACTTTTCTTTGTTTTGTTGAGATGGATGAAAGTTTTTCGAGAACTTTAACATTGTTGTTCAGCCTCTCAGTCATGTCCGACTCTTCGTGACCCCATGGACTGCAGCACAACAGGCTTCCCTGTCCTTAACCATCTCCCAGAGCTTGCTCAAACTCATGTCCATTAAGCCAGTCATGCCATCAAACCATCTCATCCTCTGTTGTCCCCTTCTCCTCCTGCCTTCAATCTTTCTCAGCATCAGGGACATTTCTAATGAGTTGGCTCTTTGCATCAGGCGGTCAAAGTATTGGAGCTTCAGCTTCAGTATCAGTCCTTCCAATGAATATTCAGGGTTGATTTCATTTAGATTTGGCTGGTTAGATCTCCGTGCAGTCCAACGGACTCTCAAGAGTCTTCTCCAACACCACAGTCCAAAAGCATCAATTCTTCAGCACTCAGTTCTTTATGCTCCAGCTCTCACATCCATACATGACTACGAGAAAAACCATAGCTTTGACTATATGAACCGTTGTCAGCTAAGTAATGTCTCTGCTTTTTAATATGCTATGTTTCTCATAGCTTTTCTTCCAAGGAGCAAGTGTCTTTTAATTTCATGGCTGCAGTCACCATCTGCAGTAATTTTGGAGCCCTCAAAAATAAAGTCTCTCACTATTTCCATTTTTTCCTCATCTATTTGCCATGAACTTATGGGGCCAGATGTCATGATCTTAGCTTTTTAAATGTTGAATTTTAAGCTAGCTTTTTCACTCTCTTATTTCACTTTCATTGACAGGCTCTTTAGTTCTTCTGTTTCTGCCATAAGCATGGTGTCAACTGCATATCTGAGATTATTGGTATTTCTTCCAGCAATTTTGATTCCAGCTTGTGGTTCATCTAGTGCAGAATTTTGCATGATGTACTCTGCATGTAAGTTAAATAAGCAGGGTGACAATATATAGCCTTGATGTCCTCCTTTCCCAATTTGGAAACAGTCTATTGTTCCATGTCCAGTTATAACTATTGCTTCTTGAACTGCATAAAGATTTCTCAGGAGGCAGGTCAAGTGGTCTGGTATTCCCATCTCTGTAAGGATTTTCCACAGTTTGTTGTGATCCACACAGTCAAAGGCTTTGGAGTGGTCAAGGAAGTAAAAGTACATATTTTTCTGGAACTCTCTTGTTTCTTTGATGATCCAATGGATGATGGCAATTTGATCTCTGGTTCCTCTGCCTTTTCTAAATCCAGTTTGAACATCTGGCAGTTCTTGTTTCACAAACTGTTGAAGCCTAACTTGGAGAATTTCACTCATTACTTTGCTATCATGTGAAATGAGTGCAATTGTACAGTTGTTTGAACATTCTTTGACTTTGCCCTTCTTTGGAACTGGAATGAAAACTGACCTTTTCCAGTCCTGAGGCCACTGTTGAATTTATCAAATTTACTGGCATATTGAGTGTAGCACTTTCATAGCATCATCTTTCATATCTTTAAGGTCAAATGACACTGTTGAGATTCCCTATCGACTAAGGATTATCTTTTATGGTTGCTATCTCTTTATATCATTTATATTCACAATATAGAAAAATTTCTCATCTTTATAGTTGAACATAAGACTTAATTATTTTCTATGCTCTACATTAGAGTTAAACATGGAAAAATATTAAATAAATGTGAAAGAAAACAGGAGCCACGCTTATAAGCAAAACTGTAGCCAAAAAGAAAAAAAAAACTAGAAGAGGCAAATTGCAAATGAAGGAGAGGATTTTTCAAATTTTAATAATTTATTTATTTGGCTGCATTAGGTTTAGTTGCAGCATGTGGGATCTAGTTCCCTGACAAGCGATAGAATCCAGACCTCTGACATTAAAAGCTCAGCGTCTTAGCCAATGGGCCACCAAGGATGTCCCAGGAAAGATATTTTGTTCAACATTATAATGTAACAAGTTTGACTTTGATAGATTAAATATACACACAGAACCAAATGAGTACATCCAGTGGTATTTAAAGAAAAACGAGTAAGATGTTACAATTTTTCTTCATTAAATGTGCTTAGCACTACATATATTAAGTAGTAAATTTCCTATCATTATAATTATACAACTATATTCCATTTATGGATACCTAAAAATAATCCCTTTACTCTTTTAATAATGACAACTGCTATTTTTGGAAGATACCTAGAGAGAATTTAAAATAAAAATTATTTGCAAACTTAAATAATAGTTGGCACCAATGATGAATCATATTTTGGCAGCAGTGTTATTTAGTGCTTTTCATAACTATTCACTCAGTCAGTAGTGAGTTTATATGAGCTTTTGTTTTTTTCTTCACCCCTAATATCTTTGTATTGTCTTTATGTTTTGCTTCTTCAGTGATAAAAAAGTGACATCTATAATCAATGAGAATATATAGATTTAAGAAGTGAGTTGATCAAACTCCTTGATTTATTTTTTAGATATCAGAAGTTCCATCTAGAACATTTCTCAAATTTTTGATGATAAGTAGTTAGGTTACAACAAATTACTGTGTCTGCTCTGTTCAAGGCACCGGAAATAAAGTATAGAACAAAATCCAAACAAATTTGTTGATCTAATGGCATTGGCATTTACATTCCAGCGGGGGAAAACAGAAAAATAATAAGTGACAAATGTATGTGTGTTTGTGTGTGTGTGCGGGCCTGTGTGTGTGTGTGTGTGTCTGCTGTTAATTTTTTTAAAGATAAAATATAAACCAATTGAGTAATGTATTAGGGTGGTGAGGGAAGGCTTCTGTGAGGCAGAAATCTTTAAGCCGGTATAAATGAAATGAAGGACAGATCCAGGTGAAAACTAAGTCTCAAAGAAAAGAGTGAAAAGAATAAAGAATGGAGCAAGGAAGGGATGGAAGAAAGTATGGACAAAAACACGTAGGAATAAACCACAAAAGATAGAAGAAAAGCCATTCTTCTTAACACAAGCTATAAACCTCTCTAGCCTTCAAACACAAAGCCTGAGCTTCAGTTATTAGGAGATAAAAATGTATATTAAGATGCCAATGTCATTTCCACAATAATAAACTATGGTTAATAACAGAACAGTCTGGGAAAGAGGAGGGTATTTGATTTATGCCAAAGTTAAAATTTTGTGAAAGTCTCATAAAATTTGCCTCTTACAAAATGTGAAACATAAGAGAAGGCAACTCTAATGCACAATTAACTAATACTTTATTAAAAAGAAAATATGAGAACTTAAAAAACAAATCTTTGTGAATATATATGCTAAAAATATTCACCATTGTTTCAGCTCTTTGAGAGTACAGAATTATGTATTTATATCAAAATGTATGCTCTTAAAATTAAAATAAAGTTAAGTATACTTAACTTTGGAAATCAAAATTTCTATTTCACAGATTTTTATTTTATATTTACATCTTTCTATGGTAAAGTTTAAAAGGCTCTCTTTTCCATGATCTTTTCACTAGATGGATACAGTACTATCTGAAATAGCACTGCATGTCATACATATCTCATTTGCATTCATATTCATGTAACATGTCTTCATGTTTAACCACACCTAAAATTGCATGTCTTGAACACAGTAAATGTTAAAATCATGTTGAAAGGGAGAAGAAGTTATCCTAATAGGCATTTTTAAAAGAACATAGTACTGTGATTTGTGTGTGTGTGTTTGGATGTGTACCTTTGAAATAAAATGTCTCAATATACACAGAGTAAGATCTAAAAATAGATGCTATAACATATACACCACCACCACCACCCCCTCCCCTGCAGAACATTTCCTGTAAATAAAATTTAGTTGTAGAAACAGGAATATAACATCTGATTTTATATCCACAGAAGCAAAATTTTCTCTTACCAGTTAAGAAGGATAATTAGATCATTCTAACATAAATATTTAGAACTTTTTTGGCAAAATGTAGAAAACACAATGTAAAGTAATATGAATTACTTACAACCATCTCATTTAGAGATACCCAGCAATCTGGTGGGAAGTCCTGCAGCAGTGGTACCAGGAACTGAAGACAGCCGTCCCAGTGGCACAGGAGCAGCATCATGCCAATGAGGTTAAAAATTCTCACCACAGCGCTGGCAAGATCATAGGTCATGTGGAAAATCTGTTGACCAAAATAAAATCAATTCTTATAATCAATTTTTTAAAAGTTACGAATACTACCAAGGTCAGTAGACTATCTGTGCTAGATTTATATACTAACTCTATTATATAGTGCTCACAGAGTCAATTTCATAAACTGTCTCCCTTTTTGAACTTTAACATTGGGTGTTCTAAAGTGATCTCACTTTTTGGAGCTATCTCAAAACATAACATGGGAAGAAACACAGAAATTTGGCTATTTTGACACCAGCTAATATCAGAGGCTAATTACAAACAGTCAAATCCATGTAGCGCCATCCTGATTTATCTATCTGATTAAAAAAACCACCATAATGTATGCAGTATTACTTTTGATGTATACAGGACTATGTGTAGTTGGCTGGGTCCAATTTGACTGTCTGTTGAGCTCTTATAATTAATACACCTCAGCAAGCATAAACTTCACATGTGAAGAGTTGCTGAGATAGTTATTTATTTAATATTTATTGTTTATTGAGATAACACTGGCTAGTAACATATGTTTCATATTATGACATTATACGTCTACTTCTGTCTACATTACAGCATGCCTATCCCCCAAATTTGGTTTCCATCCATCACCATAAAGTTTATCCCCTTTACCCATTTTGCCCATCCCCTGCTATTTCCTTTTTGGTTACCCCTACTCTTCTCTGTATCTATGTGTCTGCTTTGTTTGTTCATTTATTTTGTTATTTTTTATCTATTTATTTATTTTTATGTTCCACATAGGAGTGAAATAACACGATATTAATCTTGCTTCATCTGACTTATTTCACTTGGCACAGTACCCTGAAGGTCCATCCACATTGTTGCAAATGGTAAGAATTTAACTTTTTTATAGTTGAGTAGTATTCTACTGTATTTGTAAACCACATCTTTTTCATCCATTCATCCATGGAGGGGCACTTAGGGTGTTTCCACGTCCTGTTTATTATAAATAATATTGCTTGAACATATGGTGCATATACCTTTTTAAGATTAGTGTTTTTCATATTATTTGGATAAATGCCCACAAGTGGGATAGCTGAATCATGGTAGATTATTAATGGCCCTGGTAAAGCCTTGCTCACAGAAGATTTGGAATGAGAAGACTGCTTCCTTATGGAGCACATATCTGCAGACAGTCACACTAACCAAAGAAGGAAGCACCTGGTCTACTTTAAACAAAGACACAATTTACTGTCTAAGGGTCTTCCCTGGTGACTCAGGTGGTAACGAATCTGCCTGCAATGTGAGAGACCTGGGTTCAATCCCTGAGTTGGGGAGTTACCCTGGAGAAGGGCATGGTAACCCACTCCAGTGTACTTTCCCGGAGAATCCCCATGGACAGAGGAGTCTAGCGGCCTACAGTCCATGAGGTCGCAAAGAGTCGGACACAATTGAGTGACTAAGCAGAGCACAGCTTGTAGGGTAAGTCTCAGTGCAAACTTTACTCAATTTCTTGATCAAGTGGTTAACATCATTGGTTAATATTTTCAGGTTTTTTTCCATCTATGAGGTAGACATTTTAAAGTGATAAATTCCTATCTAAATCTATTCTTAGTGCCACTGCATGAAAGCCAGAAAACACAAAAACAACACTATAGATGATACTCAGTGAATTGTTAAATGAATGAATGAGAATTTTGCAGAGAGTTAATAGTAACAGCAAAAGTAAACTTCTGTGACTTTGAGAGTGTAAAGTTTTTGTTTTTGTCTTTTAAGACAGGAAATTTTTTTAAAAATTCATAATTTGCTACCATCCAAGTAATCTGAATTTGAAATTGATTTGATTTCCAGGGTTGTAGCTAACAGAAAGACCATTCTGACCCACTAGCAATATGTTTTAAGTTGTACTTATGAGTCAACAGAATAAAAAATAATCAAAATACGTTTTAAAGGTAGTGCTTTAATTTTATTTTCACCAAACTAAACTACAAAATAAGTCAGTGGAAGGCTACTGTGCTTTACATTTGTCCAGATCAGAACATTATGTTGTTCATATGACTTCAAGGTGAGGAATGAGCTGGTTACAAATACTCACTGAATTCTTTTTTATAATATTATAGTTATAGAATTCTGTCCAGTTGGAGTCTAATAACTCTAGAGAGAATAGCTGGAAGAATATTTGATTAAGATAAGTTGATTCAGAATACCAAATCCTGCCCTAATATTTGCATAATTGTCCACCAGAAGTACAATTTTTTGTAATATATTCCCCAGGAGCAATGCATAATCCACCCTGCTCTTAAAAAGGTCAAATCCTAGACTGTGCTATATGAATATATCCATAAATTAGCAGAGTAATTCCACAGTACTTCCACATTCACACTTGATAAGTTGAATTCAAGGTCCTTTCAATCTAATAATCATCTATGAAATCAGTGAGCCTTAACCTATCCTTAAGTATTTGGTTTACTTTACTATGGTTTACTTAACCAAAACATCATCTAGAGTAATTCAAGACTTCTCATGGAATATATTGATCTGTTCTTTTTGGTTTAACAGATGAGAATAATTTAGAGGTTAGGTTGCTTCTATGATCTCAGTTATCAATTGAAGGTTTCAAATATGCTTTAAGAATTCTTACTATTGTAACGTTAAGAAAATCAAATGGGCCAGAAGAGGCTCTCTTGACACAGAACATTCTTATTTTTAAGGTATTAAAATAAGGTCAGTTTCTTTGGTTTATCTTTATTGTATATTTGTACTTGCATAACCTGTCATGTCTTTTAAGATGGGAGTATCTCTATGTCATGTTGACACAGAATGTAAGAACATAAATAATTAGCTACTCAGTTCATTTCCCACCCAACATATATCCAGAATTCAATATGTGCTAGTCCTAATCAATGGTAAAATAAGAATTTTAAGAGTCCTTTGCGGCTCTCTGACCCCGTACCACTGCGTTGGACGTGCGGCAGAAGCCTTGACTTGAGTCAGCAATAAACTTCCCTTTTTTTGTGAGTTGCATTGTCTTGGAAGCCTTCTCTCTTCCCGCTCGGGGATTCGGACATTGGGCATAACATTTGGGGGCTCGTCCGGGATCCCTTGACAGGGGAAAGAGAACATTTCCAGGACAGAGAGGAAGGATAGATATAGCACCAGTGCTCAGGCAGGACAAGAAGTCCAGTGTAAATCCGAGGCCCTGCTGGGAAGCAGGAAGGTATCTGGCACAGGAGAAAGCTTTCTATAAATGGGGAACGGATTGGACGCTCTAGCCGGCGCAAGACCGAGGCCAGTGAGCGAGATGGAAGGCTGCTGGCTCTGCGGGAAGGGGAGTTCCTCTCCTGATCCCTGATGAACAGTGGATGCCATTTGGTAAGATAAACCTGCTACCGAGAGGCAAGAGAGTTCAGGGGGCCCGAAAACCCAGCGCTATGTTATCGGCCGATGTTTGTCTGTGTGTTTGCCTTCAGCTCTCCGTGTTTGTGTATGCTGGCGTTGTCTCTGGTCCTCCTTTTGAAATCTTTGAAGACATCTGAAGTTTTTTGTCTCTATAGAAGGTTTTCTGAGAGACTGTATTCTTGTATTTAAGGGAGTGTCTGATGAGGACTGCTAGGTTTATATGTGTGTTTTAACTCTGTTCTGTGTTGTGATTTTTGACGGCCATTTTGCTTTGTCTGGCCACCATTTAGACCGCCGCCATTTTGTTAGAACTTGATTTTCTTTTCCTGTGCCGTGAGACCACGGCTCTCAGGAACACTTATCTAGACCATCTCTAACTCCTGAGACTGAGAGAAAAAGGAAAAAAGACTTTAAAAATGTTATTTATTTCAACTTTTTTATAGTAGATTTTATATTGTAATATCTAATTCATGACCAAACTTAGAAAATGAAGCTAGATCTTGCACTGTGTCTGTCTAAATATGTTTTGGTATGTCTTTGTCTCTGGAAAATATTTTTTAGGTTAATTTGTAAATGAGCTCTATTTAATTGGCTTTAAAAAAGGGGTAAGCACTTACAAATCAAATAATTCTAAATTAAACAATAAATTCCAGGCTTAGGTGAACTGGGAAATATTCAGTATTAAATACCTGATATTAATGTTTGTTTGTTGACCTATCTAATATAGACATGTCTTAGAGTAATTAACATCAAGTGAAATATTTTCATTGTGCCTAGGTTTAATATAAGTTAAATATTATACCTGTTACAGGTTTGTCGACAAGTAAATTACCTCGAGTAAAAAAAAACTTCTAAAAAAATGTAAATGAGGTATAAATTTGTATATAAACTCTTAATTATTCTTTAAGAATATCCGTTTAAAATGGTCTCTCCAGATTGGTGTAACTTGAATTTCTAAGGGTTGTGCTAAACTAAGTATTGGAAGTCTATTAAATAATTAGGTCATTTCCAAATGAAATAAGATTTTGAAACATTTACTACTAAATACTGATTTCCTTTTACAGAAAAACTAAAGAGATTTGGGACTATAAATGAATAATGTTTGATGCCATCCTAAAATGTTTTAAGAAAGCAAGGTTTTTAGAAATTATCACTGGTATTTATGCTCACCAATCTATAAAATGCTAATATAAAAGTTAGCTCTTAGTTGCTAAAGGAAAGCAAGAAGTGTGCTTTCAGTAAAAAAAAGTGTAAAAAAATACTAAAAAGAGTTATGCATGATCAGGATTTTCTAAAATTGGGTTACAATTAGTTAGATAAGTGGATTTTGTTAGGAATGACAAGTCATAAGAAAACTGGTTAGAGCCAATTAGGTCCCAGATGGTGGAGCTGACGTTCACTAGACCTTGAGCCTTGGTATTTATGCCCATTGTGACGTATCAACAAGCTAAATGATACACCCATCAACATTGACTGAATCTGACCAAATGTTCTAAAAGCTTTTAATTGATCTTTTTGATAAAACTTCCTAAATCGAATTCTTTTGAAGTTCTTTTGACATCTAGCTAACTTTGGGATGTTTCAGAGGGCCCCTGAAACATCCCAAAGAGAGATATTAAACTATTTGGTTGGTTAAATTACATAAAAAGATTA